TGGGGTTGTTGAGGAAAGCTCCTGCCAGCACCCAGCTCTGCTCAGGGACTGTGCTGTGGGTCTCCTTGTCCCGCTTTGTGGGACAATGCTGGTCCCTGATATACATATACAAATATATATACAAATATATATATATATATATTTGTATAGTCCTCTCCTGTTCTCAGAGAGTTTTCACAAGTTTTCTTTTAGCAAGTGCTGTGAACGAAATTGTTTATCTGGAAATCCCTGTGTTGGATGATGGTGAAATCCTGCTGTCTGTGGCTGCCATGAATGAGTAGCTTTGAGCACTCGAACTCTAGCCTTATCCAAGACACAAAGATCCCTAGATAGTCTAGTTGGGAGGCCTTGGCTTTGCACTCATCCTTCTGGAATGGTCTGAGCTCTTTTCCAAGCTTTTATTTTAAGAGACAGTGAACTTCTGGGCATAAATCTGATTCTCACTGATAGCTGGGAGGGCAGAACTGAACAGGATTGTTCTGCTGCTGTGCATCCAATGGTCTGAGTAAACCATCCATACCTGCAGAGATCCTGTTGGCATCTCTGAAAAGCCTCCTGCTCATGGTCAGGTAGGGGAGCTGGGACTTCGAGGGGTTTTGTTGGGTTTTACATACTTATTTCCCTATATGTTGGATGTAGAAGTTGATGTATTAAAGATTTATCTGGCATGTGGAGCAGCCTTTGGAAGTGGAGCTTCTTCAGTGTGGTATACTTAGGGTGTGAGTACAGCATAATGGCTGTTAACATTTGGAGCTCTATCAAGTGATCATGATGCCTCTTCCCCCAGTAAAGCTGAAATTCTCTTCTTCCAGACACTTTCACTTTCTGTTGTACGGCACATTGCAGAAAACAGCTTCCACTTCTGTGCTGAATCACCCAGGGCTCTCCTTTTGGGTGAGCACTGCCAAGTGACGGATGTGTTCCTGCAGAACACTCACATGCCTTGAGAGCACAGCTCTGGCTCAGCAGCTTTCTCTGACTGGGAAAGTGCTCTTTTCGTGGGGAGTAAAATACAAGGAGATTTATGGCCTCCACAGATAAAATGTGATCCAGCCATGACAGTCCTTTCATCACAATGAATCATGGATTGTGATGTTATTACTCTGATTTACTGCTGTAACAGGTAGGTTTGATCTACACTTGCCACAAAGAATGAACGTCTTAGGAAGGATAACACTGGAGTTGTTGTGGTTCAAACCCACTCAAGAAAAACCACTCTGCATGGAAGGTGTGGAGGGTTTTATGTTGGTGGAAAGAAGCCAAAAGAAAAACCCCAAACCTTTTCTCTTTTTGTTTGCTCTTTTCAGTGTGTATCTCCTAATTTTTGAAAGCAAAATTCCTGTGTTCTGCTTCTCACATTGTTGGTGAGTTCTGTCTGGAAGCATCAGTGGTCAGAACAAGTCTTTAAGCAATTGGCACCAGCCATGAGTCTCCTTGATTTGCAGCAGATGAGTTTTTCTAAGTGGGTCTTAGGTCTGCTGGTGTTTTAGCACAGGAGTTTTGCAGGGCCACGTAGCAGATATACATAACCTCTTTTGCAGTAATAACCAGTGTCTTTAAAAAAAAATACACTTGGTGAGAATGATGCTGTGTTTATCTGTAGGACTGGACTCCGTCACTTCTGCAAACTTTCAAACAAAATTGAGTCACGATATGCCTCAACTTGTGTCTGAGCTTCTAAAGCTGATGAGAGAGGGGTGGGGACTGACTGGCCAGTGTTCTGTGTCTTGCATGGCCCACTTTACTACGTGCCAGTGAGGTGCCTTAGTCTGTGAGTCTGCCAAAGATTTGGAAGGTGTAATGCAGGAGAAAAGGCTGTTGTGCTATTTTCCAGAGAGCTGATAGCTCAGCTGGCTTCCCAGGCGTGACAGCAAGCTCACAGTGATGGCACTGCTGAGGCTTTGTGGATTCTGACTGTAGGCAATCCTCAACAGAACAACCAGATCAAAACTGCTAACACCATAAGTTTTGCTTAAAAATTAATTAGTAGGAAGGAGGAAAAGGAGGAAGGGCAGACACTGCTTTGATGATTGAATTGCAAAAAGTTGCACCACGATAATGCTGAAGGGTGTTTGAGCTAGGACAACATAAGGCTTGGAGATATGTGGAAAATATGTTAAGAGGCACCTCTCCAATGTGCACAGGATTTGGACTCTTATTGGCTTTTTCTGACACTTGTGGGAGCTCAGTCCTCATCAATCTGTTGCTAATTGTGTTTGAAAGAGGTAGCTGATCACTTCTAACCTTTCTGGATGCTTCTGGATGCTTCTGATGTTCTGAGGTTTAGACTGGATATTAGGAAACATTTCTTCACTGAAAGCATTGCCCAGCCCTGGCATAGCCTGCCCAGAGAAGTGGTGGAGTCACCATGCCTGGATGTACTTAAAAGATGTGTAGGATGTGGCACTTGGAAACACATTCATTGCTGGCTTAACTTGTGGACTCAATGGTCTTAGAAATCTTTTTCAGCCTAAACAATTCTAATATTCCACATTGCCCAAGGAAAGGATTCCAGTCCCTCCAAAGAATAAGCCAAAGGACAAGATAGGGCATCTCAGGTGCAAAGCACAGGTAGCCCAAATCTCCAGCTGCACTGGGGTGCACAGGGGGCAGGTCCTCCTGTGCATCTGCAGGAGCAGGCAGGCTTCCAGAAGTGGGTGGCAGGGCCTGGGAGCTTTTGTGTGTTGAAAAAGGCTTCTGTGAGAGCCTGCATTTCACCTTGTTGAGGTGCAAAGCCCTTGTGTTCAGCTGGCTTTCCATGGAAATGCCTGGTCTCCTGCTTGAAGGAATAAAAGCACCCACTGCATGACTCTGGGGAGGCTGCAAAGTGAGGATCTGCATGGATGGGTGTGCATGCAGCCTTCAGTAAAATATGCATTTACTGTAGGCAAAAACCACACCATTGTTTGCAGTTATGGCCTCCTTATTCTTGCTGCTAGAGCTCCCTTTTTTCTCTTCTGACTTCACCAAAATTCCCACTTTGGCTGCAGTTTTCCCTTGTTGCTGCAATTTTCCATTGTTTCTTTCTTGCCTCAGGCTTGGCTTATTTTTGCAAAGTTACAGTACAAGAGGTCTCAATGGTTTTGACTAAGTTTAGAAGGGAACTGATGTTTTGTCTTAACTTTCTGTCTGAAATATTTTTTTTTTTTTTCATTATTTGAACACTTCCATGTTCTGAAAGGCAGCCTGGAAATTTGACTGGAAGATGAACATGGAGTAAAGGGTGTGCTTTTTTTGCCTTCAGGAAGTAGCCAAATGATTCTGTTGAGTTGTAGGTCTGAAAATACTTTTGCAGATCCTTGTGGGAGAGGAAAGGGTAGGCACTGGCAGAAACCAGCCTTTGGAAGTGGCATTTCTTCTAAGGGAAAGGGGATGGGAGCAATTGTATGGAATACTGAGAATGAGACAGGTGAGCAGATGGAAAACCAAGGATAAGGGATGTGGGCAGGAGGGTGAATGAAGCTTGTGTGGTAACATAGAAACAGAAGAATCACTTAAAGGGGCTGCTGCCTAAAATTTGCCACAACACACAGACATTTTCAACCTCTGTGTTTCTGTATGGCCAGACAGAAACCATGTAATTTGTTGCCAAAATTGTTCCCTGCCCTGGTTCACAGGAAGTTAACAGCTTCCAAATTGTGCCCGGGTCTCACGTGGTTAAGGCATGCTTGATGTGGAGGTTTTGTAGCAGAAATACCAATACAGATGTGAAAGGAAACAGCTGCCTGAAGGCACCAGAAAAGCAGCAGGTGAAGGGTTAAAGGAGTGGCGTGTATTAATTGCTGCAGAACCACACCATGTGTTTCATGCAAATAAATAACCAGAGGACAAAACCCAAACTGGAGCCTTAGAGATAAGGTGACAAGATGATGACCCACAGTGGAGAAACTGTGAAATGCCCAGATAAGGGTAAAAAAAGACTCCGTTTTGCCTGAAACTCTTGAAGGGATAGACACAGGATCATCATATCCACTGCTGAAGGGTATGGAAGGAGCATACAAAAATGAAGAAGAGCCCATCCCAGAGATGCAGGGAAGTGGTGGTGTTATCCTAAGTGCTTGGCTGATCCTGATCCTGAGCAGGTTGATCCATACAGTCCTGTGCATGTGGGAGAGTGGGACTGGGTAGGACCAGCTTACTGGAATCTTTTTAACAAAAAATCACCTTCCCTACCTCTAAGGTCTTGCAAAGAGTTTTGTTCTACAAATTTCCCACAGTAATGAGATTAAATGTTCTAGTTCTGCTAATAGTGCATGTAGGAGGTGACATATACCCATATACATTTTATATAAACCCCAGTTGCCTTAAAAAACACCTAGATAATTAGATTGCAAAGTTGCTGTGTTAAAGGAGTATTCCTACCTAAGAGTGGCACTCAGCTGCTGTGAATGGAAGTTGTCTGTTTAATTGCCCTCTTGTAGGAAAGCTGCTGCCATCCAAATATTTCTCATTTTCTAAATGCTCAGCTTGAGAGGTGCATTGAATGCTGCCAATTATAGGTGACACTACTGCATTGAAGCATATAAAGTGCCACAAAAAAAGGCACCATTAAGAAAATCAGGCCACCACAGTTCCCTCTCAAGCAGGCTTTCTGCATGAGAGGTTCTGGATGACCTGGATGCTGCAGCTATAAATGGAGGCAGCTTTCTGCTCCCACAGAAGTAAGAAAAACTGGTGCTCTGAGCACGGTCCAGGTGCTTTTCCTCCCTTTCCTTCCTGTCTCTGTTCCTGACCATGCTGGTGTGAGCTCTGCAAAGCAGCCACTGTACCCAGTGAAGGCTTAGAGCTCCACTGCTGTCACTGCAAGGGGCTGGCTTCTGCTTTTCTCGTGGAACTGTGGGGAGAGAAACAATGAAATGCTTGTGAAGCATTCCTGGGTGATAGTGATGAGGTATCCAGGAGAATAATATGTCTGTGTTCTTAGCATCAGTAAGGGCAGAGAAGTGACACTGAGCAAACAGGGTGCTGAATGAGTGCTCTTGGTTTTTTCATTCCTTCAGCGGTGGAGGAGAACCTGGGAGAGTCCTGTGAGCAACAGTAGTGCCATGGGATTGAATAAAATAACCTTTATGCAATTAAGAAGTCTGTAAATGGAAGATATCCAGCCATGTAAGTGTGTCTCTGTTCATTGCTGCTCAGCTCTGCTGTTTTCCTCACCTTTTCAGAGCCATCCTCTCTGAAGGGGTGGCTGTGCAGGTGAGTTTCTGGTTCCCTGGGCCTTCCTGCTGCCGTGCTCCTGATCTGATGCTGTGGATGCTGTCTGCCAGACACTGGACACTGCTGCAGGCAGACTCTTGGGCTGCCTTTGAAGAAGGCAAACTCACCAGTCCTTAACCAGTAAGTGAGAACATCTGGGGATAATTTGTTTTATTACTTCTTAGATGTTCAGTTTAGAGAAAAAACATTGTCTTTTACCCTCTTTCTCTCACAAGAGTTGGCAGGATTTAGTTTGAGTTACTTAAATGTTTGTAATAATGTCCTTAATCTAGAGTTCAATGAAAAGATTTGGAGATCAATGATTTTTAGCATGGCAGCTTAAAGTCAAGTTGAGAATATGAGGGTAGTGAGTTCCTTACTCTTCTTGCTCTCTCAAACATGGGGATATTTCCCTGCTGCCAAAGGGTGGATCTGTTCTGTTCTCCAACAATAAAAAGCAGATGATTTTCCTTCTTAAAATACCCAAAGGGGATTGCTAACACAGATCCTCTTCTCTGTGTGCCCATCCTCAAGTGCAGAGCCAAATCCCATCCCTTCTAGCAGCAAGGAAAAGCAAATCCCTGCCATTGAGGGCACCCAGATTAACCCACTGCAGGATTAGGATGCTTGAGCTGTTGTTAGAAGATTAGTATATTTGGTTGTCAACACTTGCTGAACTTGGCCTGAAAATGATTTCCCAAGAGGCCACAGACTCGTGGGTGCCAGTTTGCCCAGCACACTGGGAAAGCCCTGGAGTTAAAGTGGCTGCAAGGATGAAACTGGAGCACTGAGTGTGCAGAATGTCTTTAGGACTTAAACCCATCATTGCTGCTGGTGGGGACAGAAGGCTCTGGCAGGCTGATCATAATATCTGAGCTCCTGCCCTGCTGGGGAGGTGTTTCTGGAGCTTGGCTTTCTGGAGTTTCCTGCTGATGGCAGTGTGTGCCATTAGGTGGGTGAGCTGCCCACAGATGAACTTTTCTCAGCTCCTGCACAGTGCAAAATGAGTTTATTTTGAGGACAGAGCCTCCACAGGCACATCTCTAGGTAGAAAGCAATTGGCTTCCACTTTCTCTTCTGGGACTCAAACTGTCTGTGCTCATCATGTTTTATTTCAGCTACTAGCAGGAGGATTCATGTCGAGGGTTTTTTTTTTTAAATATAGGATCTTTCTCTTTGTGTATTTTCCTCTGCTTATCAGTGGAAAACTGCCTTGATGGTGAAATAACTGTTAGCTGGAAACTGTTTTTTCTATCATGAGCCAGATGAATACAAACTTATATTTGATTCAAAGCAACTTGTCTTGAAAAACACCAACCACTGTCTGTGTCATGGAATTGGTCCCAGTGATTCCCTTCGGTGGCATTATCTGGATTTCAAGACACATCCTCTTGTAAATATGGATTTTATCACGCTTCTCTTTGTGCATCCAAACATTAGCATCCATTTCATGTCTGAAATTCATATAACTGCATTTGCCACTCCTGTGACAATATAATTTTATTTCTTCCACAGCAAAGATATTCAAACCCATGTCGAAGAAATAAGCCTAAAAGCTCTCTCAGAGAAGATACACTATAGAAAGGTAGGGCCTTTCCATAAAGGATTCCTTTGAGTTTAACTCTGGTACCTTAAGGCTATAGCTGTCCTCAGCATTCCCAAAAGTGGGAATCTGTGCAGCCTAGTGAAGCAAGAGACGTTCAATTTTAATAACTTTATAAGCACTAAGTACATTGCTCTGTATTTTATGAACATACCTGAGGGGATTTTTGTAGAGCTGCATGATAAAATAATTCTGAATATTTTATCCAAGGCCTGTGTTGTGATTTATTCTGAAAAAAACAAAACCTTCTTAAACTCAGAATGTGGGCTTTAAATTTCTGTCTGGATTACAGGGTGTGGCCAAGGACAAGGCCACCACTGTGGTGGCATTGCTTCCACTTGGCTCACTGCAACAAAAGATGCATTCTGGAACAACCAGCAAGAACATGGAACAGCAAGCTGTGTGTGGGAATGTTCTTCCACTTGTCTAGTGTTTTCTGCATGCAGAACTTTCTGTAGATTTAGCTCAGCATGGACCTGGCTGACCAGCTGTGCCTAACAGGCAAAGGCTTGATAAAGTGGCCTGTATTCATTGAAGAATTTGGGTTTAAGAAAATGTCATGTCTGACATCATGCTGAGGTCATTTGGACTGTCTGATAAGTAGAGACATATATATGCCTATAGACACTAGATATGTATGAGAGGGCCATAAATAAGACATGCTCCAGTGTGGGAAAAGGTGCATTGTAGATTTTAATCTATTAGGAGGAGAGGCCATCCAGTGTTTGTAATGGTTCTGCTTGTACTTCAGCCCATGCTTGCTGCAACAAGGGCTGGTAAACCTGTGATTTGAAGGCAGTTTCTAGGACATGGGCAGAGTCACTGTGCACATATCTGGGGGGAGTTCACAAAGTGAAAAAGGGAGAGAAAAATGCCAATGCCACCATGCTGTGAGCTCAGGCCTCTGCCTTCTTCAAGGAGCACACTATGCACAAGCAGCTCTTGTTTCTGATCCATGTGTAGAGCACAATTATTTCTTAATTAATAAGAAATAATCATATGTAAACCACTGGTTTCCACATCAGAATACCTCCAAAGGGTGGACCTCAGAATGCCTCCAAAGGGTGGACCTCACATCTACACTGATAAATAGACAGCAACAGTGCTGGCTGGATGCCCTGCACTTCCCACGGCTGGCAAATCCCTGTTCATGTGGGCTTTCCACCCTAGCTCAGTGGCCAAGGAAGCTCCAGCTGGGTTAATTCCCAGTCCCATGATGTTGTTTCCAATGGGTAAAATAGGTGCTAATTAATTCACTGCCTTTATATTTGACATGGGGCAGTTCCCAGCCAGACTGTTTGTTTGGTAAGCACTGTGGATGCACAAGGTAAACAACATTTTGGTGCTGAGGAATATTTTAAATTGGCTATAAAATCAAAATCTAAGAGGAAACAAGCAGAAATATAGAATGAAAGTAGTGGATGTGGTGAGACTGGTTCTGCAGCAGATAGAAGGTGCAGGTGATCAGCTTGCATGGCTTGCACTGCTTCTGCGGAGTGGGCTTGCACGGGGGGGGCAGCAACCTTTTCTATATCAAAGAACAAAAATTTACTTGTGACCCAATCTCCATCTGGGGCTGTAGGAAGGTCTGAAGATGCTCACAGGATCCAGACTATGGATCTAGGTTGTTTATGGTTAGACTGGATCTTAGAGTTCTTTTCCAACCCAACCTTTCCCGTGGTTCTCTGTGCTCACCTCTGGAAATGTTTAAGGCCAGGCTGGGTGGGGCTTTGAGTGACCTGGCTGAGTGGGAGGTGTCCCTGCTGGAGCCACAGGATCTTTCAGGTCCCTTCCAGTTCAAACCATTTTTATCTCCATCCTGCCCAAACCCTGTCACTATGGGACACGAGAAAGCACAACACGAGCCACCATGATGGCAAGGTAAAAAAGAAGAAGGTTTATTTGCTGACTCCAACTTTTATACTTTTCCAAAGGTGACAGTGGATTGGAGAGTGAATGGGCCACCTCTCCAAAGACATTGGACAAACCATCAGTACATCAACTTCCTCCACCCCCATGAAGGAATGCAAAACAATATGTTGTTTATAGAAAATGTGTGGGAAAGTTTTCTAACAGAGTGTAAAATCAGAAGGCTTTAGAAAAATCTTAAGAATTAGGGCAACAAAACCCCACATCCAGTCCGTTTCTCCAGCCCTCCTGCCAGCATTTCCCACTCAGGAGTGCTCAGATTTTGAGATGCAGTACTCCTCAGTTTCCCTCCTCCTGGCAGGGATGGGGAAGGACAAAGCAGGCAACAGCCCAGAGCATGCACTCATTAGCTTCTGTCTGCCAACAAGTTGGGAGCATGCAATGTTCTATGAGATGTCTGGCTGTTATAAAAGGCTTTGGTTAAGTAATCACACTTCTCTTGCATAAGTGCTTGTTTTTGGGAGGCTTTAGCCAATTGGAGGCTGCAGCAGCACGCAGAGAGAAAGTATGTCTGACTTCTGTGAGGTGTTTTTTTAAATAATAATAAGTGATTAATAATCTGCTGAGAGCTGTATGAAATCTCTTTAGATAAGGTTAGGAGGCGGAGATTCCCCAGCGCTGCTTATAGCTGAACCACAGCTGTAAAACTCTGCCATAAAGCCTGTGTGGATTCCTGTGAGTAATATTTCTGATTCTTCTAATGGGTGTTTGTGACTGGAGACTGCAGGCAGGAAATGTTGCAGTTTATTGCAAGCAATAAGTTAGAGGGCGGCAGGAGGTGAGAGACACTAGTGAAACTATTGACCTGTTTAATAAGGCTTTCCTCCTGGACTTGTGAAAGCAAACATGGATTTCTCTGAAGCTGTGCAATCAAGGTTCTTCTAAATATGCTAATGAAAAGAAATGTGATTCTGAAGTCAACTACAGGACTATGGGAGGTCAGAGTTTTGGCCTGACAGGGAGATCACAGGACCATCTAGCCCCGTGTGCTGGTTTGGAGCAGGCAAATGTCCTATTCTTATATTATTTCCTTGATCATTGACAAGTGTACAGTGATATTTTTCATCTACATTTTCATAGCCTTCAGAAATCTGCATGTCAGTTATTTCCTGAGCCAGAAATGGTATCCCTAATAGTGCAATGCAATAGTACAACACAAAGGTACAGTAGTGGATTTTTCTTTTCAGAATTTGCTAATCCAGTGTATCTGTTGAAGACAACATGTTGTTCTGGGATTTGACTTACATAAATCAAATGGCATTTCATATCTTGCATTCTTCCACAGAGGATTTTAATTTTTATTGTTTAAAATGGTGCTTTTTCTGTTAAGATAGAACTGAAAAGGAAAAAACCATATAGGGATTCACAGGAAACAAGACCTCCCTTCCCACTTCCTTGTGACGTGTCTGGATGCAGCGCGTTCTGTGAACAAAAGCTGGAACTATAAAACAATCCACTGAAGTGGGAACTGGAATTTATTGTTCAAGACTGAGCAACGTGAAACAACTCAGTTGTTATTCCTGCCAGCCCTGGAAAGCATTGACGTGCCACTGTAGAGAGAGAGCAGCTCAAGTGCTGAGCTGTGAGGAGAAATAAAGCTGTTGCCTATAGTTGGGTGTGTGTGTGCTTCCTCTTAGAGGTGGCACTGAATTTTTCTGGCATAGAAAAAATGCTGGACTAGTGGAAATCTCTTGGGAAAGATCAATCCACTACTTACTAGCTTTGAAAAATTGTAGAATGTGGATTTTATAGTCTATAAAGTTCTTGAGACGTGCTAAAGCATTTAAAGCTTATTTGCAGCTAGTAGATGAGGAGGTAATACCACCATGAAAGGAAGTTAATTTGTCACAGTTATAGGATTAGAGAGGTAAATGTGAGAAGTTTTGTTGAACTAAAAGGCATTTGGCTGCAAAGTGAAGGCTGCAACATTTTCATATTTGCTTCCTAGAGTGGGCAAAATCGGTAAGCCTGTTTGCTTCAGTAAAACTGCAACAGTGATGCCAGATAAGCTGATTTTGTGGGCTAATTATTTAGGCCTTTGTGAAAACTTTAGGCAAATTTAAGTTATGGCTCTTGCAATGGAGGGTGGCAGAGCAGGTGGCTCTATCAAAACTTCCCATTTCTATTCTGCAACCTCATAAGATCTTACCAAAGAGAGATGCTCCCAGCCCATGCAAAGGCCTTTTCAGTTCTAATGAAAACTCCACAAATGAAACTAGGCAGTTAAAATTTGTGAATTTGCAACATTATTTCCAAAACAGTCTCTGGGATGTGGAACAAATCCAGGCTTCCTTTAGGATAAGCCAACAATATCTCTGATGTGTTTCAGAGTAAGATGGATGCTCTACATAAGTTGAAGATCTTGGTGATGTTTCTGTCTCTGGCTACTTTCATGATCATGGTGATAATGAATGCTGGAAATGCCACTGGGACTTTCAAAGGTAATACAAGCAAATTTTCTTTATTCAGAGGTGGGTTTCATGCTTGGTATTATGCAGTGATACAAGGTGTCTTATATGGGACAGATGTGTTTGCTGCCTCACCAACTCTCCAAACTCACCTTGTTCTGTGAAAGGTGGGAGTAGCTGGTGCATCCTCCAGGTTTACAGCCAAATGCCTGAACCCTATCCAGTCCCTGGAAATCCAAGTCAATGTCCCCACTGGAGCTCGTGGTGGTTGGAAGGCAGTCTTTGCACACCCCTGTATCCCTGCTGGAAGAGGTTCAGGATGCTGCTGTGGGTTTGTAGTGCTGCATTTGAACACTCCTGGCTGAACCTGCCATCACGCCACCCTCTGCATTACACAGACAGCTGTTTCTTCTGGCTCTGGGGAAGAGGGAAGGTGCACGGTGTTCCCAATAAAGGACAGTGATCCCATCATGGGTGTCTAAACCAACTGCAGCACGTGGCTGGTTTGCACCAAGGGCATGCTCTCATCATCCCTGAACCCACTGAGGCAGGGAGGAAGGCTGAAGGCTGAGGAAAATCAGCATCTTTCCCCATCCTCTGGATGCAATAACACTTTTGCCTGCAACAACATTCCACAGGTCTGTTCAGGACAACCCCTGGAAACATCTCAGCCAAGTACAGCACAGATTTCACACCAGCTGGCTGGACTTTCCTCATCTGGAACGTCATCTACGCCTGGCAGCTCGCCTGGCTGCTCTACGCCTTGTCAGGGATCTGCCGAAGGTATTTCCCCTATTTCTCTTTACAGTATACATGAGAAGGGACAGTGTCTTTTCTTTTGGGCTCTTACCTTCCTTTCAGGGGTTTCTAGCAAGAGCAAACCCATTGCCATTGCCTGAAATGTTGAAGCTCTGTGGCTGGAGCGTCTCTTACATCCAGCATCCAAACCTGGGACACAGTTTGGAGGTCTACATGAACTCCTCTGAAGTGTGGGCAGCTATCAAAGTGTGTAAAGTCCTCAATGAATCCTTGTTTCCAGAAATTCAGGGAATCTGACAGATTTACCCAGTACCTGCACTTACCCACTGCTAGAGGCTGAGAATCCACAGGGGCAAAATTAATGGATTACAGAGCCAAAATATTTAATTCCAATGTAAAGTCCCTCCTAATATAAGGCAAATTAGGCCAGAAAGATTTGTTTGGTCAATGCAGGCATTGTTTTTCTCTCTCCATACCCCCTTTTTCCTGGCAGGAATGAACTTGGATATGTCTTCATAAAGCCAGACTTGCTGCCAATACCTTTTTATGTGGCGTGGTGTCTGAATAATGGCCTCAATGTTGGATGGCTCTTTCTGTGGGACCGAGAGTAAGTTACAAAGTCTTCTGTTACAAATACTTTCTAACACTCTTCATGGGATTGCCCCAGTAGTTTTGTGGGGTTTTTGGGGGGTTTTTTTGGGTTTTTTTAATTTTTTTTTTCTCAGTGTGTGAACACTTAATCACACCTGGAAAACTATGCCAGGTTTTGACAAAATGTAGCCTTCATAAAAGTTTGGGGGTTTTGCATTCTGTTGTCATCTTGCCCATGAAACAGACTGGTCCCTGAAGTCTAAGGTCTCCTCAAAGCTGTTGTTCTACATTTTTGCCTCCATAGGTAAGACAGGAGCCATGCCTCCCTGTATTAATGCAGTTAAGCTCCTTGCCTTGGATTGTTTCCATAATGATGGTCACATTAAGGGCTTAGGAGAGCACCATTGTCAAGAGGTGAAGAAATAATTTGCAGCCAGGAAAACAACTTCATGATTAACAGAGTAAAACTGCAACAGGAATATGTCAAAACGAGGGCTATGTAGTGATTACCTTTATTAAAGGCCGATCAACTTAGAGCCAGTAAAGACCAAACACTAAAGCTACAAATTAGGGCATTGTGACACCACTGAGAAAAATGTGATGTCTGCTGTGTGTGTACATGTTCTTTGTCCTAGATACCTCCTTCCAGCCCTGGTGTTCCTGGCAGTCCTGTCCCTTACCACATGTGCCTGCTTGTTTGTTTCCCACCGAGCCTTGAGCATCCATTCCTCGTGGTTTGTGAAGGCTCACAAGGCTGAGCTCTGGCTCATCCGCATTCTGGTAGGTGGCTTTTGAGAAGCTGTGGGTACATGGTAAATAAAAACAGCCTCTGGGCAGTGCTGGAGGCATCAGGAGTGAAATATCCAGTGGCAGAACATAAGTAAGGAAAAATTTCTGCCCTGCACAGGAAAGTTCCTAGCAGGAACTTTTGGAAAGGCATCTACATGTCATCTACATCCACATCTCTTGGCACAAACTGGGGGTGGGCTCTGTTCTTGGCACTTCTTGGCACACCAGTGTAGCACATGGCTGGGCTGGATCTCCAGAGCGCCTCTGGACTCCAAGGTTTCACCTTTTCTCTGTGTTGAGGGACTTCTCCTGCAGCTGGGTCCAGAAGTCTGGCTTAACTCCAGCGGGGCCTAGGGGCCAGCAAAGACAAGCAGAGTGTGTCACTCCTGTCCCCTGCTGTGCTGCGTGGCAGGTGCAGAACGGGCTGGCTCTGTACCTGACGTGGACCAGCATCGCCACGCTGCTCAACTTCACCGTCGTGCTCATCCACAAGTGGAACGTGCCCAACGAGAAAGCAACCACTGCTTCCCTGAGCATCCTGGCTCTCAGCCTGGTGATATGGTAAGCGACCCCGAGGATCCCCACTGAGCCTCAGAAACCCCTTCCACCTGTCACCAGTGGTGACTAGCTGCTCCACTTCACTCATCACTTGTCCCTCCCCCAACACTGAGGACAAAGGCCTCTGGTACAATTCATGGCAGATGAACTACGAGTCTGGGCAGAGCTTTTATGCCCTGACCTCAGCAATGCCAATAAGTATTGTGGGCCAGGAACATGTTTTTGTGACTTGCATGTATTGCCTTGATCCTTAAGATTTTCTAAAGCCTTCTGAGTTTACACTCTGTTAGAAAACTTTCCCACACATTTTCTATAAACAACATATTGTTTTGCATTCCTTCGTGGGGGTGGAGGAAGTTGATGTACTGGTGGTTTGTCCAATGTCTTTGGAGAGGTGGCCCATTCACTCTCCAATCCACTGTCACCTTTGGGAAAGTATAAAAGTTGGAGTCAGCAAATAAACCTTCTTCTTTTTTACCTTGCCATCGCAGTGGCTCGTGTTGTGCTTTCTCGTGTCCTGTAGCGACATGCACGAGCCCAACCTGCCTTAGGTTTACAGCTGAAGGTGTGATACCGAAACCATATGAAACAAGGCTTTATTCTTCCCCAAAGTTACCTTAAATAAATGATTTATGAACTTTTTGAATATTATAAAATGAAACATTTTGGTCTCTTGTCCCAGCTGGCCCACAAAACCTCCCCATTCCCTGTCTAATTCCTTTCTTAGGGAATGGAAAACAACATACAGAGAGAATCCTTACTTTGGTCACTCTTTTTCTTCACAGGTTTTATCTAGAAAACTACCTGCTTGACAAGTACGTCCGCTACAACCTCACAGTCTACCCCGTGGTCATAGCAGCTCTGACAGGCAGCGCCTGTGGGAACGGCTCCTTTTCATCCCCACAGACCAACCACGTTTTCATAGGTGAATCTCTCCAGCTCCTGTAAAAGAAGGCCTGTAAACACTTCCCATCCTTCCTCTGACTTGCCACATGAAGAGCTCTATTTGTTCAAAGCAGAACTAGGGATGTATTGGAAGGTATTTGTTTTGCTAAGGAAAAAGCAGAGCAGAAATCATGGCCCACGAGCCTCGGGGCTGAACCCAAACCTTGTGTTGTCTCAAGTTCACTTCCCAGAGCAATGTGTTTGTCCTGCAATCCTCCAGCACCCCCTTGGCTCCTCCAGCAGCTCCATCTGACACAGAGCAGGGTTGGGATGAAGGCTGAGGGCTCCCATTTGCCCATTGGAGGTGCATGAGGGCAGAGGGCTTCAGATGCTCCTCTCCTATGCACAGCTCAGGCTAGCCTTAACAAGTTTTCCTGGGATTATCTGTTTGCTGCCAGCCACTGTAGCAGAGTTGAGTGTAGTCATCCGTGGTAAAAGGGCTTAAGCTGTCCAAATTCTGTACAATCACAGTCTGGCAGGATCTGCACTATTATGAGCAGTTTTGTGCTGGCATGAAAGGCACTGAGCTCTGTGAACTCTGAATCCTGCTGAAACAGTTTGAGATGCCCATTCCCACCACGGGGTCAGCTGAAGGGAGCATGTTCCCACCCTTCAGCCTTCCCACTGCCACAAACCAGTGGCTCAAGCTAAATTCTGGACTGGCACCACCACTGGAGCTGCTCCAGTCAAGCTCCCTTTGCTGTGAGTGCAGCTGGAGCCTGGCACTGAAAACACCCAGCAGGACTTGGCAAAGCTTCTCTGCCACTGCCAGGGGGGCACTGGGAGCTCGTGTCCTGATGGCTGTGGCCACCAGGAGTGTGGAGGTGTGCTTGGTCTCTAGCAGGCAGCTCTGTTCCTGCAGCAGGTACATTTCTTACCAGCAAAACTTCATTCGTAGTGGTTCAGCTGGTTTGGCTGGTAGGACAAGAATGTGCTTTTCCCAAACTAGTACATGTTTCTTTATATAGTTCTACTATTCTTGGAGTATTTTGTTAATGTAATGTATTTTAACCCCTGTGTCCAGGAAGCCTCCCCCTTTTTAGACATTCCTTGACCTGGAAGCATTGGGCAAATTTCACTGTGTAGCAGTAAAACTCTGAGAGATACAACTCTGGATCCTGTACAGGCAATTGTGGGTTTTTTTCTCTTTCCCTGAATACCCCTGTTCTGGGAGTTAAAGTATGACAAGAGGAACTGTCTTTTTTATGCTCTGACATGGCTCTGTGTTTTTTCCCCAGTTGTTCTGCTGGCACTGACGTGCTTGATCTTTGCTGTTCGGCTGGGACTGGTCATGTGGAGACACTGGAAGAGACCACTGGAAGCATGAGAACCCTGAGGTCCATCAGGCACAGTGGCCTGAGACCTCTGGCACATGGTGGCTGATACTTGAAAAGGGAGAAAAAAGAATTGGGCATGTGCTGGCCCTTCCTTCCTGCATCCACTCCCTTCTGCATTTCTCTCTTATTCTCTGTTCCAAATGCAGATGTCTTGTGTCTGCAAATGTGTCTTGCTCCCACATTCTCTCAGATCAGTTACTCACAACCCTGTCTTGAGTTCCTTTGGTTTTATCCTGGAAAAGTTCAGGAAAAGGTCCTGAGCAGCCCTGTGCAGCTTTGTGATGCCTGGGCCGTGGCTCTCTTCTCCTGCCAGTGCAAGCAGGGCTGCCAACAGGCACCCAGCAGGCCTGTACACACAGTTGTTCCTGTTTTTTCCCTTGGTATCCCACTTTCTTGGAAGTGCAGACCCAAGTGAACTGTCCCTGGGGTTCCAGGGGGGAGAACTGTCATTCATTCCCTTGGCATCAGTGCTGAGCATCCTCACGCCTGGTGATGTCAGCAGATCTCCTGCAGGCAGCCACTGCTCCTTTTCCTGCTTCTCTTCAGCATGACAGGAGCAGATACTAGGATTTGACATCTGCCTTTGCAGTGTCAGCTCTGCTGTTTGGTATTCAAGGGGGCAGGGGGAGGGACTGAAGGTTTCTGACACTAACCTGTTGGTGTTGCCTTTCCCTGAGCTGTGCACAGCTTGGGCTGGCTGGATGTCTCTCACTGGGGCAGTTTGTGGCTGCTCTGGAAGGAGGTTAGATGTACAGATGAGCTGGTCCCTGATCTGGGGTGAAGCCTGATGCTTCAAAGGAAGCCTGTTAAAAAAAAAAAAATAAATAAAAATGGAACCTGTAGAGCAAGTTCATCCTGGATCGCTGCCTTCTCATGTGGCTTCACCACTTCTGAGTTGGGATTAGGAAGCCTAAAACTGGATTGACTGAATTTTTGGACCACTGCCTTTCCTTCCTGTGCCTAATTGAGAGCTGGTGGTGCCTCACAGGTGTCTGGAAAGTCCTGGCACCAGGAAGGTGCTTTCAGTGCATCTTGCAGTATTATTAACAAAGCTAAATTCTAAAACAACATGTGCTATTGTTCACATTTAGCAAAAACCAAAAGCAGTGTAATGCATCTCCCCTCATCATTCTGGTCTGTTTGTTTTTTGGTTTTTTTTTTTTTTTTTTTTTTTTTTTTTTTTTTTTTTTTTTTTTTTTTTTTTTCAAATAAATCAGCTAATTCTACACTCTGCCACTAACTCTGTAGATCATCTAAAGCAGCTGTCCTGGCCCCTGCCTCACTCATGCCCAGAGTTCCAGAGTGACTCTGGTCCCTTGCTGGAATCTCATGGAGGTGAGGAGTTGGAGGATGTAGATTGCTAGGTATGATTTAAACTCTTTTGACCAGCACGCTGTTCATTAAGTTTCTATTTTATAGGCTCTGCCTCCCAAGATCCCAGCTAATAAATTCCCAGCAGCCTCTCCCTAAGCTGCCTTCTTTAATACAGAGGTATTAAAGCCACTGGCAGGGGGATTAGGGGGTCCAGGCAAGGTGAGAAGCTGCTGTGAGGCTGTGCAGCAGTTCATGCATGGCCAGGTTTTGCAGCCTCCCTCTTGCAGCAAGAGCACTGCAAAGAGCTCCTGGGCCAGGGCAGCTGCACTAAAATTAAAAAAATGCCTTCTCAGAAGGTTTCTTGGTGTCTGTACCTCATTTCTGTGCTGGCCAATGACCAGAAACTATATCAAGAATGCAATTAATTGTCTGGGGAGTGTTGACAGGGCTTTTGCAAAGGGGAAAAAAACTCTGTCTCACAAATCTCTGAAGGGCTCAGAAAGCACAAGCAAGGGTGAAGGGTCTCCTGTTGTCACTGGCCACTACAGAGGCACAAAAGCTGCCACGAAAATCAAAGTCCTCCCACTGGAGACTAAAGCTGGGAAGCAGAGGGGATGTTCCTCCAGGAAGGGAGGTTGATGACACCATGTGCCAGGGGCTGGATAATGTGCTCGCTGAAAATTAAGGGATTGCTTTGGGATGGACAAATTATTTAGGATGGTAAAGGAGGAGGTAGACTGGGGAATTGCAAAAAGCTGCTCTGGAACTGAGAGAGGACAGAGGTCATTGCAGGGCTGTGCCAAAGGATGCTGTGCTTCACCTTGCAAGTGACACCCCCTTACCTGGCCCCTGCCACCTGGGCACAGGGTTTGGGGTGCTGGCAGCCATTCTCACCCAGACACCTCCTCAGCTGGCAGCAGCAGAGGCAAACCATGGATCAGGAATGGCAGGAAAGGAGTCAAATTTACAGCACCTCCTGCCTCTCTAGAGCCACTGTGCCCCCACATCTTGAGGGCTTTGTGCAGCACTGGCCCTTGCTCTCCCAGGAGATTATTTTGGGTTTGGGCAGAGCAATGGCACCAGGGACTGGGATGCTCCCAGAGCTGAGCAGCAGCTCAGGAACGTCAGCCCCTTCCCCATGGGCACCTTGAGGTGGTGGCACAGTGGGTGCTGCTCTTCCCCTGCTCTCACCTCTCCAAAACCAGCTGTGAGGAGAGACTCCAAGGCCCTTTTCGCCCATTTAATCCTCCCTGTGAGAAAGCCCCTGATGACTGCCCTGCAATGATAACTCTGAGCTGCCCCAACCCTCATTTGGCCACCCACAAATCATTTCCTGGTCCTCAAAACCCTCTCTGAGCCCTGTTTTCTCACAGCTGGGGCAGACAGAGGTTCCCACAGCTGTCCCAGCACACAAAGATCCAGCCAGCTTTGGGAAAATGGCTTTTCTTGCATCTGCAGCAGGAACAGGAGCCTAAAAATAAACCACCTGCCCCTTTCTTTTTCAGTGGACAGCAGGAGGAAGCAGATAAAAAAAAAGTGTGACCCTCCCTCTTCCAAACTTGGGGATAAAGATAGCTTCAAGACCATTTGTAAAGGCTTTTTTTTTTTTTCCTGAAATGCCTCATTTTTTACTTGTCTTTCCAAAACCACCAGTGTACATGATTTTGCCTACAAAAGATCTTCCTTTCAGCAGAGAGGCATTTCAGAAAGCTGGAAGCCTGCCAACCTTTTAGCAAAAAAACAACAACAAAAAAAATCAGTCCAGCCTTTGTTTCCATTAGGGATTATGGGATTTGGGTGAATTTTAGAGGATTTAAAATTTCTTGGAAAGCTGGTGGCCTTTAGAAGGCAAGGTCTGAAAAATAAGTTTAATTTGTGGAAAAGTGGTTCTGAAAAGGTTCATGTGCCTTGTAGCCCAGCTTGGGATGTGACCCAAGTGCCCTGGACACGAGGGCTGGAGATGGATGGGGCTGGCAAAGCCAGGTGTGATGAGGTTCCCGGGACACAAAGGTTTATTTTGCTTTCTGATACAAAATCTGGGTTTACACTTCCCACCTCTGCAGAGAAAAAGGGAAAAGCAGAGTGATCTGTAAAACACCACTGGGTAGACAACTTTAATTCTGTGTGGGGATGCTCCTTCCCCAGTCTGGGGCCAGCTCCCTCTGGGAATGACCCATCAGTTCATCACAGCTTTTCCTTAGGGATGTACTGGCTGGGCTGGACATTTCTGAGGCTGCTAGGCTGTTGTTTTCAGTAAAATTTCTGTGAAAATCTGATTCAAAAGAATGCTGCATGGGAGAAGCTGTGGGGCAAGGGAAATATGCATTTGAACTGGGAAAGCGAATGTGTTAATTCAAAAGGAATTCCTCTAAAAAAAAAAAAAAAAGAGGTTATAAGACCCTGAGTCAGGCTCTTATTAAAGCCCACACAGCTTCCAGAGAAAACCATGCTTCATTTCTTGCCTTAGGGCTCAGCTGGCTCCTCTTCAGCCATGGTGAGAGCTGATGGGAGGCTGGGGCTGGGGCAGCTTCCTTGGACACCTCCCAGCAGCAGGAGCTTGCTCCAAGCAGAGCTCCCTGCACTTCATCCTGCCCACACCCCCAAAAACTGCACCCCCTCGTGATGCTCTTGGTACAGAGCCCAGGCAGGAGCCTCGCCCGCTGGGCTCCCAAAAACCAAGCACCCAGGCAGGGGAGACATTGCCTTGCAGCCTGATTTGTTCTTGCCTTAATGTCACCCTCAGGACTAATTACTTTATATTAAAACATCTGTGAAATGGAGTAATAAGTAAATAAAGCTGAGAGAAAAGAGATGTTAGTCCACGATGCAAAGCACCAGGACAGAGACCAGCACTGATTTTCATCTGCAATTCCACTTTGTAAAAACCTCTCTCCTGGCTGCATCCAGGGGCACAGTGGGACACAGGGATTGCTGCTGAGTTATGGGCACAAGTGGCACCAGCAGCAGGAAAACAGGAATACAGGAAAACAGGAATACAGGAAAACAGAAAACAGGAAACAGGAAAACAGGAAAAAAGAAAAACAGGAAAACAGGCAAAAAGGAAAACAGGAAAACAGGAAAACAGAAAAACAGGAAAACAGNAAAAAAAAAAAACAGGAAAACAGAAAAACAGGAAAACAGAAAAACAGGAAAACAGGAAAACAGGAAAACAGGAAAACAGGAAAAGAGGAATACAGGAAAAGAGGAAAACAGAAAAACAGGAGAACAGGAAAACCAGAAAAACAGGATAACAGGAAAACCAGAATACAGAAAAACAGGAAAACAGGAAAAAAGAAAAACAGGAATACAGGAAAACAGGAAAACAGGAAAACAGGAAAACACTTCTCATGTCACCTTGTCGGAGGAGCCTTGGACAGGGAACACAAGGAAGGGTGGCTCTAAACATGGCACCCCCAGCACCCCCATTTCCTTATCTGGGATGCAGAGATGAACAGGACAAACCTCTCTGTGGAGGACTGGGAAGAAGTGCAGATAAAAGCATGGAATACATACAGGGATGATTAAAGACAGCAATGCCCTTTGCTGTGCACACAGTCTAAACACGCCGGGCCATCCTGAGCTCTTTGAAAACTGTTAGATGTTCTCCAGCTAAATATTTATTTTATCTGCTGGGACAGCCCCTGTCGGGAGATCAGCTCACTCCCTCTGTCAAAGGCATCCCAGCAAAGGCTTGTGGGCTGGGGCAGGACTCATGCATGGGCTGAACATGTGGGAAAAATGCTGGAGCAGCCCCAGAGCCTGACCCTGCTCCCAGCAGAGCTGGGGCACTGCTCAGAACAGCCATTGGCAGGGGGAATGGCTCCATGGGCCTTCCCTGCTGGAAAATTGGACTCAAAGCCCTTGAAT